CACAGCGCATGAGCCGAGCCCCCCCCGCCCGGGTCGGCACTGCCCCACAGATGTATATGCAAACATACAGATAATATATGTCTATATGTATAACGTGACTGTGGGTGCGGCCGTAGAGGGGTTGAGACTTCACCGCTGCCTCCGGTGCTGCCCTGGAGCCCTCGGAGAAGGGACAGCTCCAGGGAGACCTTCGAGCGCCTTCCGGTGCCTAGAGGAGGTTATGGAAAAGAGGGAGAAGGAGTGTTCACGTGGGCAGAGAGTGAGAGGAGAAGGGAGAGCAGTTTTAAACAAAAAGCAGAGATTTAGGCTGGGTATTAGGGAGGAATTGTTCCCTGTGAGGGTGCTGAGGCACTGGCACAGGTTGCTTAGAGAAGCTGTGGCTGCTCCATCCCTGGGGGGGTTCATGGCCAGGCTGGATGGGGCTTGGAGCAGCCTGGTCTAGTGGAAGGTGTCCCTGCCCATGGCAGGGGGTGGAACTAGGTGGTCTTTAAGGTCTGTTCCAACCTATAACAGTCTAGGATTCTGTGATTCTGATGCTGGTGAGGAGTTAGGAAGGAAAAAGCCCAAACCCCCCAAAAGGGACAGTTTTGCACTCTTGAGATCATAGCCTGTTGGGGGGAAAAAAATCCCTTTTCTGTCACTTCCCTCCCCAGCCCGAGCACAGGTGTTCACTCAAGGCTGTTGGCCAAAATGAGCTGTTTTACCTCCAGTATTTCTCTGCTCGTATTCAAAGTTCCTCACACACCCTGAAAAGATTCCAAATACCCTTTTGCTGTCGGTGGTGCTGGGCAGGGGGAAGCAGAGGATGAGTCCTGTGAAGGGTTTCCAGTGCTGCCCAAAACCTCTCTGTGCCAGAGGCACCAAAAGCCCTGACAGCACTTTGGGATGCAGCTCTGTCCCCTTCCACAGGGCTGGTGCTCTGGAGTGGGTTCCATCTCTCCAGGAATATTGTTTTCCAGGTGTTGTGTCACTCAGCTGTGCGTGTGACATACGAGCACATACACAGAGATGTTTCCGTCCCTGAGCAGCTCCACAAAGTGCATTGCCAGCTCCAAGACTTGCTTCCTCCCTGGGAGGCTTTTTGGAGCCACGGGAAGTGAAATTTCTGGAGAGACTTGCCCGGAGGTGGGAAGTAGTTTGGCTGTATTGGGCTATGCAGTGGGAGGAGGAAGGAAGGCTGATTGCTCAGGGTGAAGAGAGGCAAATTGGGAGAGGTGTGGGTTGAGTTGGAAGAGAAATGGTGTGGAAACTGGAAAGGTCACAAGGATTTGGGCTGGGGGTGGGTGAAATAATGGAGAAAAGGTCACTTGGACCAGCCTGTTTGTTTCAAGGGTGCTTGGAACTGTTTAGTCCCATCCCAACTTCACTCCCCTGTGCATGGTCTTCTCTTTTTTTTTTGCTAGATTTGGAGCAAAGGAGGAGAGAAACATTTTCTCTCCTCACTAGATTCCCAAATGTGTCACAGCTTCACACAAAAGACGTGGAGGATATTCTTAGCAGCACACGGCGTTCGCCTTTGGAGCCTTCGCTGGGACTTTGATTCCCTGGCTTTGAAGTGGGGCTGATGTCTCCAGGAGGGCTGTTTCTGGGAACAGCAGTGCTGGATTTCATAGGGAGTATCAGCTTTCACAGCAAATAGAAACTGTCTTATATAAATAACTTTTGTTAATAGAAGAATAGATAAAGACAAGGAAATCTCTAGGAGAACCTTGGGTGGATAAACCTCTTATTCAAGATCATTTTTGCAGCTTATTCCAGCCCCTCCAAATGTCCTCCAGGACAGGCTCTGTGAGGTGCTGGAGAAGGGGATGGTGTTGGAGGGGATTGGGTCTCCTTCCTCCAGCCACAGTGCAGATCTGAGCCTTTCCCCTCTCTCCAGCATCCATCACCCATGGCCACTTCAGGATGGACATCGCAGGCAGCAGAGCCAGAAATGATAATTTTTTTCAGCCATTTCTTTGTGCTAAACAGTAGAGGTTTGAAATGCTGCTGCTGCTTGCTGCTGGCTGTCCTGCAGCATCCCAGCTCTTGCCTTGGGTTTCGCTGTCCAGCGTCTATGGGGTTTTTCCTTTCCCTGCTCACCACGCAGTCAGGAAGGGGTAGAGTGTCTCCTGCCTGTCGTGATTTGCGACCCTGGGAGAGGACAGGCATGAGCATTGCAGCTGCCTGGTCTTTGCCAGGGGCTGCCTCTGGTGTGCTTTGAGGTGCAAATAAGGTGCCCAGTGATCTTGGGGGCTGTTTAGCAGCTCCTAGTATTTACTAATCATCTTAAAAATACATTTGCCTCTTTTTTGTCCTTCCTCTTTGCATGGCTGTCTCCAGAAATCTGCATTCCATCTTGCCTTACCCCTTTTCCCTCCTGAGAGCCTCCTGTTCTCCACCCTGGTTGATTTTTTCAACTCTGCTGGGGTGGCTGAGAGGGTGTCTAGTCCAGCAGCTTCTCCTGGTCCACTGGCTGAGCATTGCTGCCTCCACAGAGCAGAGGATGTGAGACATCCTTGTCTACTTCAGTGGACCATGTTGTCCAGAGAGTTTGTGGCTGTCCCATCCCTGGAAGTGTTCAAGGCTAGGTTGGGTGGGGCTTGGAGCAATCTGGGCTAGTGGAAGGTGTCCCTGCCCATGGCAGGGGGTTGGAACTAGATGATCTTTAAGGTTCCTTCCAGCCCAAGCCATTCTGTGATTCCATGATCCGGGGCACACAAGAGACCTCCGAGGCTGCTGCAGGGAACCATCCCCACATCTGACACCAAGAGGGAACAGAGACCCTCACTTTGTCTCTCCCCATCCTCCCTCCCTTCGCCCTCACCCTTGAGAGGAGCTGATACTTCACCATTGTGATGCAGGAGTAGATCATCTAACAGATCATGGGAGACATGGGGATACTTATACTCCAAAAAAATCCAGTTTCTGCTCAGGCAGAACTTCCTATGCTCCTATCCCACTGCAGCCTCTCCTACTCACACACTCCAAACTCACAGTCTTCAGCCCACCTCTTCTGCCCCCAAAGTACCCATTTTGCTGCTGCAAAACTGAGTTTGCCTGCACTGATCCAACATCTTGCTGTATCCCTAATTGGAAAGCCAGGGATACAATCAGAGCTCCAAGGGGTGTCCAGAAGGATTTATTTCCCCACATCAGGGGCAGTTGTGTTGCAGTTACAGTGTCTCTGCCAGGCTTTGGCTTTCCTGATTGCTCAGTGCCCTATGGTTGAGAGAGCACAAGGGATTTTAAAGAATGGAAAAATCCTTGTCTGATGGATCTTTGAGTGGGATTGGGATGTGCTCACAGCACTGGCCTGACGTGGAGCTTTTTTGTTTCCATCAGCATCTGAACCATTGTAAACAGGTGTCATTTGGCAGCCAGTGCAGGCTGGCAGCACACAGCTGGATTGGTGGCTGATTTCTCATCCTCACCCTCTGTGCTTTAGACAGGAGTTAGGAAGAGACCTGTCATTTTTAACCCCACTGTGCCCTAAAACTCTGGGAAACACTTCCAAATCTGAAGCATAAAGCTCTGTTCCCTGTGTTTCTCAACCTGGGATGTAGCATCTCGGAATGTTTTGCATCACTTCTCCTGTGCTCTTCCCCCACTTTGCTCTGGGGCCACATTTCTTCATTCCACTAATCTCCATCTGTAGATTCTGGGCCAGTTTTCACTCTCTGGACTGGTTTTGTGGAGACTCTGCTCCAGGCACAAAGAGCAGTGTGGCACCCTGGATATTTGCACAACTCAGGTGGTGGTTGGTGTTTCAGACCACAGAGCCTGAGGCAGCAGAGTGCTCTGTTTGAATACACAAAGTCTCTTGAAGCTGCAGGTCTACTGCAAAAACACATTTTCATTGTTTAGAATGAAAGCAAATCAGTTTGGATCTCTTAAAAATGAGAAATAATGATTTTTTTCTTAACTCTCTAAAGTCTGTGCCAGGTTCCTTGTGTCTGCTGAGTAGCAGGTGATACTTGAGTGCCTTCTACTCCAATTTCAGGTCACCTGTGTGCTTGTCTTGACCTGCCTTTGTGTGAGGTGATGTTGGATAGTGGCTTTGCGGGGAAGCAGCTGCCCTGGCCAGGGGAAGCACTGGCATCACCTCACTTTCGGTAGCATAAAGGATAGATTAAAGGTGCTGCGTGTGAGGTGGAAGCCACTCATTCTTCGTCTGCCCTTTTTTCAGTACCTGGAAGCAATTCTGAGCCCAGTAAGTTGTGATCCATGGCTACAGTGCTAATATGCCGAAGATTGCCAAGGCTGAGCAGGGTGACAGCATTTTCGACCACAGCCAAGCACAAGGCCGAGCATGGGAGCAGCAAAAGTAAGGAAAAAAAGGAAGAGAACCCAGGAGCAGCCAACACCGGGAAATCTGTGGCTCCAATCCAGGTGCTGAACCCTCTGGACTACAGAGTGTCGTATAATCCATCTGCCTATGCCAAAGGCAGAGCTGGCTCCCAGCAGCACATGGGTAGGGACCGCAGCCAGGCCCTCGGTGGCACGGTCACCAGCCCTGGCACTGCACAGGCTCCACAGACTTTCCGTCCTGCCCCTTCCCGAGCGCTGCCACCCGCCAGAGGTGCCCTGCGCACGCCCAGGTCCAACACGCTCCTCGAGCAGACCATCCTGGAGATGCTGTCCAAGGAGGAGGCAGAAAAGGACAAACAGGAGATGCACGACTCCAAGGAGGATCCCCGCGTGTTTCAGAAGGGGAGACCTGAGTACAGAGCACTCACCTGTGACAGCTGTGAGCCAGGCCCAACCCTCCCTGCAGAGGAGGGTGACTCCATTCTCCACAGCGTGGCTCTGTGCGAGGACAGCCCAGGAACCATCACAGATTTCTTCCGCAGGCTGAGCCGTTTGCCCGCGGAGCACCGCGCAGCGCTGGTGTCCAAACCCACGTTCAGTGCACTGTGTCACTGTGCTGGCAGAGCCATCAGGCTCTTCAGCACCCCAGATCTCATCAATGTGTTAAAGGCTTGTGTCCACTTGGCTGTCCCTCCCAGCCACCCCCTGCTCGACGCGTGCGACGTTGAGTTCTGCCGCAGGGTGTGGGATATGAACCTGGAGCAGCTGCTGCTGGTGGCGGATTGCTGGCGCTGCCTGGAGCGGAATGTGCCTTCCTACCTCAGCATTTTGTTCAGCTATGCCAACCTGCACTGGAAAGAGCTCACCTTGCCCCAGTTTGTTCAGCTCCTTTACATCATCGGGGAAGGACGGAGGTCGCCTGTGGACTTGATGCAGAAGGTGGAGAGCATGATTTTGAAGGACTTGGATTCCTTCACCTTGGAGGAACTCGGTGCCATCTGCTTAGGGCTCTTCAAGTCCCTCAGTGAGATCTCTAACCACGTCATGAGGAGAATTGCAGACAGGGTCTCCCTGCAGATGGAAGACATGAGCACTTATGCATTGGTGAACGTGCTCAAAATGCTCCGCTACGCTCGCATGGACCACTTACCCCTCCTGAAGGAACTTGGGAAGGTGATTCCCCCTCGGATTCCTACAATAAACATCCAGGGCATCATGCACATCACTCTTACCTATTCCTCCCTGCACTACTTTGATGAGGGTGTTTTGGCTGCTGTAGCCATGGCATTGCCTTCCAAGGTCACTTACTGCCGGAGCAAAGATGCTGCCAAGTTCCTGTGGTCGTTTGGATGCCTGGACTATGAACCTCCCAACGAGGAAGAGTTTTACTGCAGCCTGATAAAGCAGATACATATAAAACTCCATGAATATAGGAAGTTTCCAGAGCATCTCCTTACTGCTTTGCTTGGCTTGGCGTTTGTCAGACGCTTCCCAGAGGAGCTGATAGACTATGCTCTGACGGAGGAGTTTGTCCAGAAGACAAGAGGTAGTAAATATGAGCTCAACAAGGACCTGTTCACCCTTAGTAGGAGTGTTGAGATCGAGTGCCCAAACTACCAAGGCAGCCGCCTTCCTCCTCAGCTTCATCAAGAGTTTACTGAGATGGCTTTGAACTTTGCAGAGCAAGAAATCTATGTCAGGCCTGAAATCGTGGAAGCCACATCTCTCCTCGAGAGCATGTTGGGAGGCCCCCAGTACTTGAAGAGCCACATGATCCTGCCGCACACGAGGTCAAGCGACCTGGAGGTGCACTTGGCCATGGATGGACGTCCCATCCCTTTCAACTTCAAGGAGCCTGTGGCAGCTAAGAAGCTAAAGGGCATTGAAGTGAGTCTAACAGATGACTTAATGTCTCAGCTTATAAAAGGGAGAGCTTACAGCCAGTCTCCTGTGGAAGTGGAAAATAAAGCCAGGACTGCCGCACAGGAGAGAGGGAACAACGCAGGAGCACCATGCTCAGGTGGAGCTCTTCCTCCAGATGCCAAATCACATGTTGAGCCTAATCAGAGGCTCTGCCTTGAAGCCCCTCCATCCTTTCCACTGGCTCAGCAGCCTCGGGAGGTGAAACTGGCTATCCAGGTGTCCAACAGAAACCACTACTGCCACAGCTCCAAGCGGCTCCTGGGGCTGCACTGCCTGAAGCGGCGGCAGCTGCGGCAGCTGGGCTACGTGGTGGTGGAGCTTCCCTTCTGGGAATGGTTTCCTCTGCTCAAGCGCACGCGCTCGGAGAAGCTGAGCTACCTCCATTACAAAGTGTTCGACCCAGCACTGCTCAGCAGGGACGGTTAGTCAGGTCTGGCACAGCCTCCCCAGTGCACCTCTGTTTCTGGTTACTGGTTAAAATGGTCTCTGGGAGTGTTGGTTCAGGTTTTGGCAGGTGCTCTGTGCCTGGCTGTGTGGCCAGTTCTGCTCTGCTGACAGTCATATGTCCTGTGCTCTCCTTTTGGCTCCTCAAGAGTTTCCACCACAAATAAAACCTGACTATTCATTTTTCTCTGTGGTTACTTCTTTCTCTGCCTTAAATGAAAGTGGGTGGATTTGGTGACTCTGTGAGAGCAGAACAGTGATATTTGGGAGAGAGTATATAGTCATGAAGCTGAGCTGGGTGCCAGGAGCACATGTATGTGTTTCCTTACTCTTTCCATAAGCATCGAGCTGGGGCTGGAGGGCACGATCTGGGTTTCTCCTTTAGGAGCCGGGTGTGAGCAGGACAGAGCTGAGTGATGGAATCTGGGGATGAGGGTTGGACTGCTGTGACCCTGGGACATTGTTTTCATGCTCAAAGGACCTTAGTTTGGTGTCCACCATGTACATGCCTTCATGCAGCAGCCTCCTAGTTGTATATAGGACACCAGGAAGGTACATGGTGATGAGCTCCTGACAGCCTGGTTTAAACTTCCTTGTCCAAGACCACAGAGGATCTTGCTGGCATAGAAAAATACATAGTACAGTCCTTCAGGCCTGCATTTCACTGCCTCAGTCCAAAGATCTTTGTTCACCTTAGGGGAAGGCATAAACTCAAGAGAGATGGATACTGTGTGATATCCTGATGGTACTTTGAGTTGTTTGTTTTGACATGTAACAATTTCAGTAGTGCAGTGGGTGTTGTATTTTGAAAGTGTTTCCAAATTCAGACCCTTCTTCATGCCACAGTGATGTGAGTTGTTGCTAGCATAGAGACCTCCACACAAGCTTGGGGTCTCATGGCAGCAGCAGCCATGGGAAGCCACATCTGCTGCCCCATCCCATTCCTTTTCTAGAGATTTTTGCAGCCTGTGTTTCCCTCAGCCCAGGCTCTTTGCTAGAGGGGTCCTGGGCTCACTGTCCCCATCTGATTCTGGCCACTCCTGCTCTGTTCCTTTCACCTCCATTTGCCTGTCCCTGCTGATTCTGATCCCTAGCCTCCTCCTTTGACCCCAGCCGGTTCTAATCTCATTCCAGTTTCTCATTTACTCTGTCTCTTCATCCTCACTGAGTTGTGTTTTTGTGGGAAGAGCAAAAAAACCCACAGCCATGGGTAAAAGCAACTCAGTGACCAACTTTTGCCCTGAAGTATGTGGCAGAGTTTTTCAGTAGAAGGGAGAGCAGTGACTTGGATATGCAGAATAATCCATTTTCGTACTGAGTTGTTGCGCCTGGAAAAATTAACCTGAGTTGTTTAAGTCTGTCAGGGTCACAAACAGGTAGGAGAAAATCCTATAAAATATACTTGGATATCCATACAGAGCTCCTTATGTTGCAGGAGAAGTCTTCAGCCCAGGAAAGGGATGTGAGGAGAGACAGAACAGAGGGAGAATCTTGAGTCTTCCCAAGGCAGGGAGCAGATAGAGTTGATTTGCTATTTTTCTTACTACCAGCACTGAGGTCCAAGTGAATTTACCAGGAAGCAGGTTTGAAATGAACCAGAAAGAGTAGATTTGAGGCATAGCCTGTAGTTAAATTCTCAGTTAAACCCTCAGTAGTAACCCTGTAGTTAAACCCTCAGTCTCCTACAAGATGTGGGTGCCAAAAGTCAGACCAGTTTAAAAGCCTCTTTGAAGCAGCCCAGTGCTGGAAGTCTCAGCCAAGAAAGTAGTACTGGAGGAGTGTTGATTTGTGCTTGCCCTGCTCCTGTGCTCCCTGAAGAGAAGCAGGAATTGCTCCTGATGGCTGCCAGACCAAATATTGGGCAAGAAGTGGTGCTCACTTGGCCTGATGAACCTCTTAGGTTCACACCTGCTTCAGTCAAGCACTGGGATTGTAAGCTTCAAGCCCTGCTCTCTGCAGGCTTGGATTCCATGTTGTGTTGGGTTTTATACCTGGGACTTGTGCCTGGGTTGCCACATTTCTCCTTCCAGATGCAGGCAGAGCGAGCTCATTAGCTCTGCCATTCCATGGCAGCACCGAGGTGCCCCCAGAAGGCCAATTTCATTTTGGCTGAACTAACAGCTTCGGTTGAAAATCATTGAAGAGTTGCTTGTTCTTGAAGAAGGCAGTGAGCTCCTGATTTGCAAGGTTGCCCAAGGCAGTGACATATTAAAACAGAGGTTAATGTAAGGTTAAAGCTCTTACCCTGCAGATGATTTCATTCTTGAAAGGGATCTGATACAGCCAATTCCAGTCACATTTTTTTCAATGGAGAAGGAGGTGTGTTCACTTGAGTTTCTATAATGAACATTGGCAGGAGAATCAGCTGTTGGTGTTCAGAGCTCGCATATCTCCCTCAGAGCTATTCACTGCCTTATGCTCTCTTGGAGCTGTTTAACACTGATTATTAATATTTGTGGTTAATCTTAGCTCACACCAAATCCTGTGACAGCCTTGTGTGATGTGCTGGTGCTTTACTGCATCTACAAAACCTCCTGCCCCTTTGATAAACTTTCAGATCTAATTGCTAATCTATCCATAGGTATTGCTAGTTAAAATAGCCATTTTCTCTCTGTTGTTTCTCCAGTGGTTCACTAATATTAAAGTGATTTTTTTCAATCAATCCCATCACTCCACCACAGTCTTTGGGTTTATATTGGCCTCATCTCCTGGACTCAGATCTGAGCTGCATTGTAGGAATTCCCAAGCCTGTAACCCATCCAGGTTCCAAAACACAAAGTCCTTTCACTGTTCATGGATGTTCACTTCCTTTATTTTTTTTTTTTTTTTTTACAAGCTGAATCTGATGCTCAGAAAGTGACCTCTCTCCAGTGGCCAAGATGGTCATAAACTTCTGTCTCCCACAGTTCAAGCCAAGGATTCACTGCAACAAGGTAAAATAGTCCTGTGGGGGTTTTTAGGGAGCAGGAGGGATGGAGGGGTTTGGTGGAAGTGGCATGCTGGGCTAGTTGGGACTGGGGAAGGTTTGTTCCCTGCTCATCTGGGATAATTAGCTGAAAACATTTTTGTCCATTAAAACCGTTTCCCAGTCATGTGAGAGGGTTGTGGTTTGGGTGCTTTTGCTCTCAGCTTTCTCTTCCAAGCTCAGCAGTCTCCTGGCATTCTCAGCAAGGAGGTTTTGTGAACTGAAGTTTGGGATCTGGGCTCCTGGATGCCCTTCCCCTTACTGCTTCTGTCTTGAGTCAGTGATGTGCCAGCACTAAGAGACCTGATGTCTGGGGGCTCAGGATCTGCAGCTCATGTGAAGATAATGTGGAGCTGAAGGCTCAGTACTTTGAAAACTCAGTATTGAGAGTTTTCCCAGAAATTGCTCTTTAAAATTTGGTTCATCCTGTCTGAGTTCTGGTCAGTCTGTGCCAGGTAGTGCTGAGGCTCTGTCTAGCCTCATGTGACTGCTCTGCTGTGGCACACACTAATTGTTGAAGAGAAAAAGCCCTAATTTTGCAGGATCTCATAACCAGGCAATGTTACGTGCTTTCAGGTATATGTCCTTTGACTTGAGATCCCTTTCTCCCTGCAATATTCCAGCTTTCCCTTTGTCCAGTGGAACACACAGCTCTTGACATTTGCTGAAGTTACTTGTCAAGTATTTCTGTTTTCACTCAGCACATGAGAATCTCTTACGGAGCTTGGTTTTAATTCAAAGCTACATCTCCCACCCACTCATCCCAAAACCCAAGACAGCCTTAGATTGATAAATGCTGTACTGTAAGAACAGCAGTACAGGTGTGACCATCCCTCTGTTTGGTGTGTGGAGAGACCCAGCCATGCCATGGAGGTTTGGCCTGATTGTCATGATCAAGACCTTGGGGGACTAAATAGATTTTTCCTTAGTTTTATTTGTTCATTTAGTAAGTGCTGCAGATTTAGGCCCAGGTCATCCAGGAAAGGGAATGGGTAGAGCCAGTCAGCCTAGGAGGACACCAGAGGGTGGGACTAGATGTTCTGGCAGATATGGGGTCCAGCCTGGTTCGATGGATCTCCCTCAGGGATGGGTAGGGTTGGTCCCAGAGGCTAAGTGACCTCTAGAGGTTTCTCTGGGATCCTGTAACTGTGATTCTGAATGTGTTTTCACACAGCAGGATAAGCTGACACAAAGAAAAAGAGAAGACTGCCATATGGAAAGGAGACTTGAAAGAGGAGACTCCCATTTCCCCCACACACATCCTCTGCTCCCAGCCACATTCTCCCACTTGATTTAGTTCACTGGCCCTGCCAAAACCACAAAACATCCATAATTTTCCACTCTTCCAGCAGTTAAATCAGCTCTGCATAGGGCTGCACAGGTGACTGAGGGTGGAGGAAGAGGGA